AGACCACCCAAAATCGCATGTTTTGATCGTCGAAACGAATTAAGTCAGCGTTACTAAAGGCTTCAATGGCTGCATTTTAGACTGTTGTTGGCAGCAATGAAGCCATTGGCATCGTAGATAAGCGGGAATCGAGTAACAGTGCTTGTTTTTATCCGTTTTCCACACAATTGCAGCCTACAGCTGGCTTCGCGCAGACGATTTGCAGCGGCCATTTTAACGCATCGAAAGAGACTTTGGTCCATGCTTGCCTCCGCGTTGCCACAATTTTGTGGAGTACTTCACTTTTGTTCAGCTTATTTCCTTTTTCATTTCGAGTGAAAGTGTTGCGTGAAGAGATTCGAAGCTCGGTTCCACCAGAAAACGACCAGCAACGGATTACTCTTGACAAGCTGTCGATTGGCTTTACTGGGGCTTTCTTGTTGACGCTGTTTCCGAGGCAATCTTCTTCGATTCCGCTGAAAAGGTGCCAAGCTTTCGTCCTTCACATGACGAACATCATCACAGCAAACCAACATCGTCACAACCAAATTCAAGCCAACGAGGCAAGAAAACTCTGATGATGTTTGTCACATGACGGACGAAAGGTCAGCACCTTTTCACCGGAATTGAAGAAGATCATACTTCAGAGACGACAATAATCCCCAAAAGCAGAATCAGAATTACAGTTATCATCATCATTATCACCATATTCATCATAATCACCAACCATCACCATAATTATCATCACAATCATTTTCCTAATTACCAATATCACCAACACGATCGTCATCATCATCATCGTAATCTTTTATACCATCCTCCTCCGCCTCTTCCTCCTTTTCCTCATAATCACAATCAGCATAGTCATAATCATAATCAAAATAATAAACAACATCTTCACCATCATCATATTCATCACCATCATCAGTACCATCATTATAACCATCCTCCTCCTTTCTTTATAATCACAATAATCATAATTGTAATAATAACCTTAATCACAAGTATCATCATCATCATCATCGCCATCACCACCACCATCATAATCATCATTATTGCCATTCCTCTCCTCCTCATAATCACAAGCATAATCATCATTATCAATATCGTTATCGTTATCAGTATCAGTATCATCATCATCACCATAATCGTCATATTCACCAACCATAACCATAATTATCATTGCGATCATTTTCCTAATCACCACTAGCTCCATCACCATCGTCATCATCATCATCATCATCGTAATCGTTTATACCATCCTCCTCCGTCTCCTCCTCCTCTTCCTCATTATACAATCACCATAGTCATAATCAAAATAATAATAATAATAATAATCATAATCATAATCATAATCATAATCATCATCACCATCAGTATCATAATTCCTACCATCCTCTTCATATCTTCATAATCAAAATCATCCTAATCGTAATACTAATCTTAATAATCATCATCATCATCATACTAATCATTACCATCACCACCATCGCCATAATCAGTATTTTTGTCATTCTTCTCCTTCTCATAATCACAAGCATAATCATCATTATCATTATCATTATCATCACCATAATCATCATATTCACCAACCATCATCATAATTATCATCGCAATCATTTTCCTAATCACCACTATCACCATCACCATCATCATCATCATAATCATAAACGTTATCGTAATTCTTTATACCATCCCCCTCCGCCTCCTCCACCTCTTTCTCATAGTCACAATCATCATAGTCATAAATGTAATCATAATAATTAACATCAATATCACGATTATCATCAGTATCATCATTATTACCATCCTCCTGCTCTCTTAATAATCACAATTATCATAATCGTTATACCGATCTTAATCATCACCATCATCAGACTAATCAGCACTATCAGCACCATCATCAGAATCATCATTATTTCATAATCACAAGCATAATTATCTTTATCGTTATCAGTATCAGTATCATCATCATCACCTTATTCATCATAATCACCACTATCACCATCACCATCGTCATCATCATCAGCAACATCATTGTAATCCTTTATACCATCCTCTTCGCTTCCTCCTCCTCTTCCTCACAATCACAATCAGCATCGTCATAATCTTAATTATAATCATAATCATAATCATAATAATCAACATCAACATCATCATCATCATCACGATCATCATTATTACCATCCTCATCCTCTCCTCACAAGCACAATCATCATAATCGTAATACTAATCTTAATCACCATCATCATAGTCATCATCATCATCAACACCATCATCATACTCATCATCATTATTGCCATTTTTCTCCTCATAATCACAAGCATAATCATCTTTATCATTATCGTTATCGTTATCATTATCAATATCTTCATCACCATTATCATCACCATCCTTTTGCTTCTTCTTCTTCTTCTTCTTTTTCTTCCGATCTCGAACCCGTCATCACGAGTGGGACGTGAACCAGCCAGCGGATACCTCGCTTGAAGTCACGAGCTAGCGCACCTAATTGCTATGCGTGTGTCTGCTTGCGTGCGTGCGTGCGTGCGTGTGTGTGTGTATGACCAGGTATCTGGTGAAATGGTGTCGAAAATGAGGGGAATGGCTGCTGCCGGCAATTCGGAGCGAAAATTTGGGAATCCGACTGTCTCTATGTCAGCATCTTTGCTTGATTCTGCTTTAACGCTGCGTTTATGTGTGAATATATACAAACGTCTGTTTGTGTGTGTGCCGCAATGTCAGCCAATCGTGAAGAGGCTGTGGCCTGTCTCCGTGGTGGCAGCGAAAAAGGACCAATGCGCCGGCTCGGCAGTCTGAGAGTGTGCGCCTCGACGGTGTAGGCCCGGTGCCAGGTGCACTTATCGCTGGGCCCGGGTGTGGATCACACTGCGCCTGTCCCATCTGCCCCAGCCACCCGAGGCCATGCTGTCCGGCCCCAGCGCCGTCTGCAAATGCACCCTTTTGGTACCGGCCGTCTTTCTGCCGGCCGACCTGCCGGCGGCCGCGACGTCGGATCGGGCCGCCGAGGCGTTCGCTCGAGAGCTGGCGCGACTCTGCGAGGACTGGCTCGACCGGGCCGTGTTCACGCCGACGGCGCGCGGCGAGGCCTTTCTGCAACACTCGTTCGACGAGTTCGAAGAGGTCTATTTGTCCTGCGCCGATTTCACACTCTTCATCGCCTCCGATCGGATCGCCGAGTGTCTCGATCGCGTCTACCCGCGACTCCTCGTCTTCCTCACCGCCAGGCCGGCCTGGCGAGAGCGCATCCTCATCGTCCTCTTGGGCGCCGGCACGCAGGTCGGCCGACTCTTCAAGACCAACATGTTGGTCCATCCGCCGGTGCGCTTCCACGGCGCCACGCTCGACGAGTGGCGCCGAGAGACGGACGTGTGGATTCGTCTCTTCGACCTGATGAAGGGTGAGCCGCCGACCAAAGCCCCCTGTGTCTCGTGCAATTGTTTTTCGCGAAAAAGTCATTTTTTTACAATTTATGCCAGCTTTGTTGACAGACTACTCACGCCGAGAATGAGTAGTGTCGTCGAGTTCGATGACAATCGGACAAACAGTTATGCCTGTCCGGCTTTAAGTAGGTGTAAGTAACACTCGAAAGTGATGACGTCTTCGAATGAAATAGAGAATAATTTTCCTTATATTTTTATGCAAAATTCTCTCCACACACTACTCATGCCGAGAATGAGTAGGTATAAGTGCAAGACTCGAAAGTGATGACGTCTTCGAATGAAATAGAGAATAATTTTCCTTCAATTTTTATGCAAAATTCTCTCCACACACTACTCATGCCGAGAATGAGTAGGTATAAGCGCAACACTCGAATGGAATGGGAAATAATTTCTTCTTCCATTTTTATGCAAAATTATCTCCGCAAGTTGACACACTCG